GTATCCTTACGGCTATGTAGATGTATGCGATGTGGCAGGCATATTGTTATTTCCCCTAATGGCCGCGGCCCGTGAGATTTTTATCAATCAGCTCTCATTCTATGTGATTTGTAATCAGGCGTAAAATTAACGGCAAACAACGCGGAAATCAAAGTGGTTGAATGGCCCGCGTCACGTGCGAGTACTCTAAATGTCAGGGATACGGGGTATGTACTGCTGCGATCCGATAATACAGTAAAAAAAATATAATATTCAAGTTTTAATATTTTAAATCATCAATAAAACGATAGAAAACAATTACATAAGACTCATGGTCAAAAAGAGACAACGTATTAATAACAATTAATGCCTCAAAAGAAAAAAATAATAAAAATAATAATCCCTTTAATAAGATTAATTCAATTAATCACTTATAGGCTAATAAGATTATTTCTCCCTGTGTAATAAAAGTAACCAAATAGTTGAACAAGGTATTTACACACTTTATGGTTTCTGACAGGCCGTGATTCTTGCTCGCTGCCTTAAATGCAAAAACTCGAATGTTACTCCTCTGCCATTAAAACGAGCCCTGATCCGGATGCTAGTTTCAATGGGTTCACAGCTCACCCCTTTCCACACACACAGCCGTATGCATACCCACCCATTTTCATACCCATTCTGAGGTCCTGCCGGCCCGTTAATAGAGTTGCTCAAGTGTAGTCGGGTGGCATATGTTGGGCCGGGGAGTTGGCAAAGGAGCAGGCAAAGAAAGGCTTTTTGGGCGAAGCTTGAGAGTGCGTGCGTGTCTGGCTTTTGTTACATCACACAGGATTAGGCATAATGAAGTGTTTTAATGCGTTTAGGCACACAAACACGGAACCGAAGGGTTCCGTAGCTATGGCTGAAGTAGCTGGGAGTGTAATTAAATTGTAAACATTTTAGTGTTTGATATTCTTCAATTATAACCAATTTTTCATTTCTTAGAGAGTTGGGAAATATGTCTTCCGCCAACGATATAAGATCGATGGGAAAATAATTTTATTAAGTATTTATATTGACCTTTGTATTGATCTTATTTTAATGTTATGATTTAATTACAGTTTTATTCACTTCATTTGAGAAAGTTCCTATGATTTAAATGCAATTGTTTTCAACCAAAGTCACTTGGTGTGCAAACTTTCCAAAACTTATCACCTTTACGCACTTTCCTTTTGTTTTCCCAGACCCTGTTACTTTTTTTGCACCTTAATTCATTTCAAATTTGATTTTTGTTTATTTTCGGACCCACTCGTTTTGAAACGTGGCACAATGGTGGGGCGAGGTGTTGGAGGGAAAAACCATTAAAGAAATTACATGTTGTTGCCGGCAACTCCTGTCCGCAGAATGGATGGATGGCGGGCCGGGGACCGAAGGACGAGGCTCGAGGACCAGGGGTGTTGGCATCGAAGGAGCAGGAGAAAGAGTCGCAGATGGGGTAAATGCAATCGCATTGATGGTTAAAAAGCGACGACTATGGCGCTTAAATGTCTGAAACTGGGCGTTAACATATGGTCGCTTGTGTGCTAGGGGAGCTAGAGGCGTGGCTGGCAGGCGCTCGTTTTGTGGGCTGAAAACATCAAAGTGATTGAATTGTTGCGATTGCTTTGAAAATCAACAGCCAGTCTGTGTCAAGGGAGATTATTTTGACAAGAGTCGTCACACTCAAACCACTTTTGTATGTAAATTAAATTAAAATCCGAGACCTTTGAGCGGAGGAAATTAGTTTTGTCGATCGTCCCAATACACAAACACTTTTTCTCCGTTGTCAACACATCCTTAAATGGCAAATGCACTTTAGCTGTTAATACTATAACCGCATAAATGGAGCATAATTCTCCATTGCAATAAATACACATTAAGCGGGTCCCACCAACCATTATTGGCATTCAAGTCTGGTGCACTTTTTGCACTGGGGCTGCATTGTGCGTTTGTTTACCCACAATTGCCATTAAAATTTAAATCATTGCAATTATTATTAATGGTCGAGCAATGGGTTTTCATAAATGCATTCCAATTGCAGCAATAACAGTAACAACAAAGCATAAATCCATACAATACCAAAAAACCAATGGCAGTAATTTAAAGCCATTTTAATGCATTTACTTCCTGTCATCGAACTGGATGAATAAAATATGGAAACTAAATTTCAACAATTAACCAGTTAGGAAGCAGTTTGTGAAAACATTCGAGAAACTTAATACGGGTATTAATTGCCAAAAAGACGGGGCAGGTGTGAAGTGTCTCCGGGCAGTACTTCTCACGCCGTAATGCAATGCCTATTTACACTTTCCTAATTAACTGGAGAACATCTCGAATTTCCAAACACAAAAGTGTTAAAAAAGAACATCGTAGCGGGAAATTTCAGGACGATAAAGATGAAGGTGAATGCCGAGAAAGGGAAGCAGGAGAAGTACTACTGATACGAATCACATTAGCCAGATTTGCATCAGGATTACGCGTTGCCCCGAACAGGAGCACTCCACACTCAGGCACCTCGTCGCACTCTCATCTCGAACCTAAGCCTAAGCACTGTGACAATTGTCACAAATCAAGATCCTCCGAATCTGGGCCAGGACCACTCGAGTTGGTAACAAAAACCTAAGCAGATTTGTGCTAATATGACGGCATCTGTTTGACAATGGAAGCGCGAGGGAGATATCCTTGAGGACAATAAAAAAGAAAATAAAGGAAGAAGGTGCGTGTGAATCTCGGCAACGCCTTCAGAGAATCCCCGAGAATCCTCCGGATCTCCGCATCCCAAAGATCTCTCAAGTACGGCACACGAACGAGGCCTCAAGTGTTCAAATGTTTGCTTAAATTATGCAAATCTGCGCAAATCCTGCGGGCGGGCCTGCGGATTGAAAGCGATATACTGCATCTGGAAATAGTCTGGGCTCGTACAGACAAAGCGACGTGCACTTTTAATTGGCAAAAGTAGTCCAACTGTCTGGGAATTAGTCCAGAACGGTGGGCGAGGAATTCCTGGAAGTCCGTGAGATACACACTGTTTTTGGAGCCCCTCAACAAACTCAACCGTAATTACTTAGCGCTGCCTTTTAACGCATTCCCCACGACCATCAGGCCCCAACTCATAAACAAGTTAACGACCAAGTATACACTTTGAATAATTTTACAGCAGATAATTTGTAAAAATATATAAAAATTTTATTCGTTTTTTTTTATTAAAAGTATAATCTATAACCTATCTACATTATTTTATTTTACATTTTGTTAAGAAGAGTGTTTATTGATATTCAAAGGTCCTAAAGGATATAAGTATTTTAATCCGTTAAAAACCATACCTTCATTTTCAGTTTTGCTAAGGCAGAGTAAGTAAAGTTACATATTTTTTTGCCAAGTGTATCCAAAAACTGAAGAGTAAACACCGCGAGGAACGGCGCCGGCAGCATCCACTTGGAGCGCGTAATTTGCGCCAAATTACAGATGAAAAGCGGCGAAAACTGCAAAAAGCCGGCCAGCGAGGGAAGAGAACAAAGAACCGGCCCAGCTATGGGGGTTACCAAAAAGCGTGGACTGGCTGGCGTAATTGCAAACATGGGAATTGACTAATTGCGGAAAAGTAAGGGAGCCAAACGCCATTGGTGGGCCATCAGCTTGAAGTAGGACGAAACTGCAAGGATCGTCGACTGGGAGGGGTAATCGTAATAAAAATGGCCAAAAACAAAAATGGTGAGGGACACTAAGTGTGTAGATGTGTGGGCGCTACGCCATCCGTTAGATGTTTTGACAACACCAGCCCAAATATGCAAAAACATTTGCACACTTTTGTTTGCTCGAGTGCGTGAGTGTCTACCGCTGTTGTGTTTATTGTTTTCATTTCAATCCATGCATGGCGGCATACATGAAGCAGGCTTCAAAAGTATCTAGATCGGGCATTGTAGCCACCAAAAGACAAAACCGAACCCCTCCGCCTTCCCCGGTTCTTGGCCTGCGTTGCGCTTTCCCTTTGTGGAGGAGCGGGAACCCGGAATCCTGGATCCTGAGCAGCTGAGCCGCTTTTCGGCATTTAGTGGATTAACGAGCGGAGAACAAAACACATGTAGTGCAAATAGTTGGACTGGTAAGCAGCTCATTACCATTGTGCGGCGTGTGCAGTGCGTGGTAAATATTTTGCTACACTTTCTATTATTTATTCCTCGTTCTTATTTCACCATTGACAATGGACAAACTGGACAGAATGAATAGAAGGGACTATGGTTTCTATGACTATGGAGTAGGTGTTCTTAAAAATGTAAATCATACATGAAAATAGAGCAGTAAACAACAATAAAGTACTAATAATCTTTTTTTTATATTAAGTTACTTCCTGTAGTGGATACTAATAATCTTAATCAGTAATATAACAGGAATATTACCAACCTTCATTTGACAAATGTTACAAAATCAAAACCATGACAACCTAGGTAAACCTAAACCTAAAAAAAAATATACCTTATATACCTGTATACCTACATATACCTAAATATACCTATAACCTTAAGACAATAAATTCACCTGCTTTATAACCTCCAGGCTCCCCTGAACAAAAGTCCAGAGCAAATATAGGTTACATCACTTACAGAACAGAAGAAGAGAGAAATTAATCTAATTTATCATTATATTGAGTTGAGTAGGCTGTGTAATTGCTTTGACCATCATTGTTTTAAGTACGTATCACTTTTTAAATGTAAGTACCAAAGACCTGCATCGAGTATGATCGAGCCGCGGAAACTTTGTTCGTTTTGGAATTTTGTTCAGTGGAGACTGAAGGTTATAGAGCAGTTAAAATTGAAATTTTCTACCTTTGTAATCCATACTCAACCAGTTTTTACATAATTGATATTGTAAGCGTTTTAAACAAACAAATAATTAACATGTATGTTAACTTTAAGTTTAATACGTTTTGAATTTAAAAATGAGCGCCAAAAACTGTAAAAAGCTTTAGCGAGATCCATTTATATAGAGTATTTGGACTTGGTCACACTAATCAGCTGTTCTTACTTTTTGTAGCTTGTTAAAATCCAGCCGGCTTTTTAACAAATCTGGACTTTAATCAGCCTTTAAAATCAATTAATCACTGAGATTTAAAAGTAAAAGATGTCTTTCGTAGGACGAGCTTTGATTCGCAACGTAAGTAAGCCTATAAGCGATTATCTTCAGAAAACATGCCACAGCGATTACATAATTTTTTGAACCCGCTTTCCAACGCATCTGGTAATCTCTAAAAATTCTTATTTATTATGCACTACAGGTGCCTCAGCTTGGCAAGAGCCTCCTCAGCCAGCAGAAACAGTTCGCCGCTCGTCTGCTTCATCAGAGTGAGTTTGTACTTTTTGCTTTGTGAATGTTTATAAATATTTATTTGTGTAAATATGTAGATAACACATATGTACACATGTACATCATGGAGCAGTTGAATGCCTTTAAGTTTAAATACATATATTTATTCCTTTTCCAGCTGCTCCCCTTGCTGCAGTCCGAGTGCAGCATCCCGCGCCCGATTTCAAGGGCCTGGCTGTGGTGGGAAACAGCTTCCAGGAGGTTAAACTGGAGGACTACAGGGGAAAGTACTTGGTGCTGTTTTTCTATCCTCTGGATTTGTAAGTAAACAGTACAATAGAACCGGCAATCTTGACTAACTTGACATACCATCCTTAGCACATTCGTTTGCCCTACGGAAATCGTTGCATTTAGCGAGCGGATCAAGGAGTTCCACGACATCAATGCCGAGGTTCTGGGCGTATCCGTTGATTCCCATTTTAGCCACTTGACGTGGTGCAATGTGGACCGCAAAAATGGAGGAGTTGGTCAGCTTAACTACCCGCTCCTGTCGGATTTGACCAAGAAAATCTCCGCCGATTATGATGTTCTGCTGGACAAAGAGGGCATCTCGCTGCGTGGTACCTTCATCATTGACCCCAATGGTATCCTGCGACAGTACTCCATCAACGATCTGCCAGTTGGTCGATCGGTCGATGAGGTGCTGCGCCTAATTAAGGCCTTCCAGTTTGTGGAGCAACACGGCGAGGTGTGCCCGGCCAATTGGAACCCCAAGACGAACCCGGCCACAATCAAGCCCGATGTGGAAGAGTCCAAGAAATACTTCACCAAACACGGCTAGACTGGGCCTCTAAACTCGAAAAATGTTTATTTTCCTTTAAACCTGAAACATTCACCACACTAAAAAGACTCCAATAATAAAGAGATGAACGATACAATATCAAACTCTTAACTATACCTTCGTAAATCAGTTTCACTAAAAGAAAATTTTCAATGAAATACTTTAAATGACTTCTGGATCTATTCCATCAATCTGCATCAAAATATAGTAGCCAAATATGTTTAAATTTTCCAGAGGATCCTCTTCAAAATGTGGAAATGGCATTGGGACAATATGACCCAACGCGAAGGCCATTTCTTTGCCAATATCTCTCCCATTCACAAGAGGAATACCTTAATAGATTCCTAGAAGTATTCTCCATTATTCTGCATCAAAATCTGGGAACCAAATATTTTTTAGATTTTTTCTCAAATTTTCCGGAGGATCCCCTTCAAAATGTGGAATTTCATTGAAAGACCCAACCAATATGACCCAACGCGAAGTCAATTTCTTTGCCAATATCTCTCCCATTCCTTAGCGGAATACCTTTATCGATTCCTAGACTTATTCTCCATTATTCTGCACCAAAATCGGGAAACCATACACATTTTAGATTTTTCCTCAATTTTTTTGGAGGATCTCCTTCAAAATGTGGAACTTTCATTGAAGGGACCCACCGCAAAGGCCATATCTTTGCAAATAGCTCTCCGATTCATTAGCGGAATACCTTAATAGATTCCTAGAAGTATTCTCCATTATTCTGCATTAAAATCTGGGAACCAAATGTTTTTTAAATTTTTTCTCAAATTTTCTGGAGGATCCCCTTCAAAATGTGGAATTTCATTGGAGGGACAATATGACCCACCGCAAAGGCCATATCTTTTCCAATAGCTCTCCGATTTAAGAGAGGAATACCTTAATCGATTCCTAGAAGTATTCTCCATTATTCTGCATCAAAATCTGGAAACCGAATATTTTTTAGATTTTTTTTCACATTTTCTGAAGGATCCCCTACAAAATGCAGAACTTTCATTGGAGGGTCAATAGGTCCCACCGCGAAAGCTATATCTTTGCTAATAAATCTCCGATTTCCAAGCGTATTGAATAGTCATATTCCTGTTGAGTAATATTTTCCGAACCACCGCAGGTATTAAAAACCCTAATAAAATAAAAATTTTAGATTTAAACTTTGGATAAAGTAAATAGTTATTTATTTGTGTCCTCTATTTGAAGCATTTCTGAATACAAAGTAGTTTTGTACAGTTTTCACTATTACCGGATCGTGGAAAGCGTAAGTGTAGTAGGTTAAAATATAAATGATAGCAAGGGTCGCAGTCTAATGCTGTTTAGCAATAAAATGTGTTCGGTCAGTTACATCTAATTCTAGTTGGATGGGGGCGGCGGTGGAGGCGGCTGCGACAGGCTCAAGGCTGGTGGGGGCGGGCCGCAGGGCGGAGGTGGAGGCGGCGCATAGCCACCGCCCCAGCCACTAAAGCCGCCACCGCCCCACGGCGGCATGGGCGGGGCACTGGTGCCCGGCGGCGGCGGGATGAGCGGGGGCGGAGGCAGAGTGCCCGGTATGGGAGGATTAAGTGGCTCCGTCGCCGGTGGCGGCGGCTGTGGGGCGCTCATCCACGGCATAAGCGGTGGCGGCATCGGCGGCGGAGCTTGGGCCACCGGAGGAGGTGCTGTTACATAAGCCGAAATGTGATCCAGTCCCAGAGCACCCATTCCATGGTCCATACCCATACCGTGCTCCATGCCGAGGCCGTGCTCATGCGCCGCCGCTCCCCATCCGCCCAGGTCGCGCTGGTGATCTCGCGACGAGGAGCTCGGTGGCGACTGGATGGCCTGCATCTGCGTGGGCTTCTTATCGAAGATGCTGTAGCTAGCCCGATGCAGCTGCGGCCCACTATTCGTAGCAGGCTCTGGCTTGGCCGCCGCTGCCGGCGGTGGACCTTCCCCGAGCTCGGCCATCAGGCTCATGTACTCCTCGTCGATCTTGGCCTGGGAGTCCTCGCAGGCCATGCCCGGCGTGCCCGATCCAGGGCGTTTGTTTCGACAATCCTTGGTCAAGTGACCGGTTCCACCGCACGAGGTGCACACAATGGTGTTGGTGATGATGGGTTTGTCGGGACACTGCCAGGATTTGTGATCTGTGGAGCCGCACGTGCAGCGCTGAATGTCGTTCTCGCGCAGCGTTCCATTTAGCTGGGCCAGCTCGCGCAGCTGCATCCGACGCAGGTCGTTGTGACCCTCCGGCACCTCGATACCCTGCCGTATGACGTCCTTTATCTTTTCCACCGCCTTGCGCACCGCCTCCGGATTGGGAGCGGTTATAAACGCATGCAGAGGCTCGTCCTCACCCGGCAACGGTTGGCCATCCTTGCGCCCCACTTTGCCCTCCTTCACCGATCCCTTGCCGCGTATAATAATCTTGGCTCCCGTATCCTTCTCCATAGCCTTGAGCGTGTTGCCTCGCGGTCCGATCAACAGGCCCACAAAGTTGATATCCGGATGCTGTTCCTGCGGTATCAGCACCTTGTCGCTGACACGAGTAACAGGTGGCCTAAAAAAAGATCAGAAGGGTGAGCACATCATTTATTCAAAAGGAGTTGCTCCAACTCACTTGTAGTCAGCCGGCGGCTTGAACTCTGGGTTCACGGTCTGCATTTTGACGATCAACTGGTGGCGCTGCTCCTCCAGACGCTTCCGGTATCGGAACTCGCGGGTGTTCAGCCTCTTGCCATCAGAACTGTAAATGGGCTCCGGCGAGGGCGACCTGCAGGCGAGAAGAGCAGACAAGAGGGGAGCCATTGATGAGACTGATCGGGTGCTTGTGGGAGGGAGGAATCTTGGACGGTAGACTTAGTGATCTTAACGTAAGTACTAACTAATATCGTTATCGAATATGCTGTAAGTTGCAAATCAAATTCATTAATCAAGTGGTTCATTAGCAGTGGCAATGGAAAAGAATTATTCGCTGGGGAATTGAGAAAAGAAGAATTTTGATTAATTCGTTCGATTCGGCAGCTCTTTCTACTGGGTTTGTTCTGTTTCTTGGCCCTTCTGTCGCACCCTGCTGCGAATGTGTCTCATGGATTTCTTTTCGAGAAACCCAAGCTTGGTGGAAGAAAAGAAAGTTGACATTAATGACAATGTATTATCTAGTCCGGTTGTCCTCGGGCGCTTACTCATTTGTTGTCCCATTAATGGGTAATGGGAATCAATCATTGAATTCAGCACTGCCTCTAAAATCCCTTGAAGAGTATCATTAGTTAAAATTAATAGTTTGATGAACAAATGAACCAAAAAGACAATTTTCTTGCAGTTCAAGCTACCTTTTTTCTAAACGTCTTCAACCAGGGGTTTTCAATTTTGATTATCATTTTAGGATTATTGATGCCAACTCTATAAAGGGCAGTAAATATCAATTAATGGAAATTAATTTAAATATTAGTTAAAACTTAATCCAATTGCCTTTTTTCCAACCAATAGTTACTGCCATTAAAATATAGAGAAACACAGCCCTTAGTTATATTCGAAACCTTCTCGCGATGGATCTTAGCGGCTAGTAAGAGTACATAGGTATGTCTGAGAGGAATCCCGCAAATGAATGGCATGCCACAATGAAACCTGTACAACTCGTGATGGCCACCATCCCGGCACTCGATCCTTCCGGCCGGAAAGCGTCCTTCCTGCTGGCTAGCTGGCTGGCTTGCTGGCTGGCTGATGGTTCAGTGGCATGCGAGATCTTTGATTGCGAGACTCGTTGGGGGGGTGTGGGGGGAACTGTATTCAAACCTTTCTTCCGGATTCTGCGTGATGCCCAGGTCGCCGGTGCGCAGCTTGCGGCTGATCTCTTCGATTTGGAATTGAACTGCAATTAAAAGGCGTTAGAGAAGAGAGAAGAAAATCGAGCGCAACCTCGACATTAGTAAACGTTAAAGGCTGAGTGGCTAGAGGGGGAAACAGGTAAAAGTTACATATGAATTCAAGTTATATAGTGGCTATAGTGTCCGTTCCTAAACTAACTGAAAATTCTGCGAGCAATATTTCGTTAATTATTACATTATTGGTTTTTTGTGCTTTGGGTGTTTTTTGTTTTTAGATCAACAGCGCATTGTTTCTGCAAATATATGTTAGCTAATTAGAGGATCAAAGTTAATGTACACTGCGTATTCTAGCCGTTTTCGGAATGGACTCAGTCGTATCGAATCGTTTCATGTGTGGTCTGTGTGCCACGCCGGGATCCCTTCAAAAAGAGAACGAGAGATTATTATAGTTTGCTCAATGCGGTGAATGCAATACTTTAGGTTGGTTTACGCTCTCTCGTGGCCAGCTGCTCGTCCGATTCCCCGGCGTCTGATTCTCTTGTTTGGCTCTGTACCTCTCTGCTATCAATGCTATCATCCTTAATGGTTTCACATTAGGCTTAATACTACGTTTAGTGCTTAGCAACTAACTTAGTTTTGGGTTGAAATCTGGGATTCAAATTTACCTAGGTAGGCCTCCTGCTGAGCGGGGTCCAGCGTGGACGGCAGAATGGTGGGCATGCCGGGTATGAAGGTCTTGTCGTTTTCACTGCCGCCCCAGCGTGACTTGCGCTTTCGTTTTCGCTCAGCTGCGCTATCCACTAAGAGATATGGAATTAGTATATTGACTAATTAGTATAGAGATAGTCTTACTTGAATTCTCCGAGGGTCCATTGCTAGTCGAGTCATTGCTGTTTTGGTTGTTGAAGAAGGAGGCGAATCCCTTGCCGCCGCCTGCGCTTCCCATCAACTCCTGAATGGTCTGCGACAGATCGAACCTCGAGTCGCGCGACTCCTCCCTTATCGTCTCAAGCCCCTGCGGCTGACGCTCGAACAGGCCCAGCATCCTCGGCTGATCCTGGTCTTGCATTAGCGAATTTCGGTTCGAAGTGTCGAATGGATTCACGTGGGAGCGCTCTCGGCTGTTGCGTTGCGACGAGCGGTCATCCCGTTGGCTGCGATCGTTGCGGCGCCGATCGTAGCTGCGACTGCGCGAGCGCCTTCTTCGACCCCGGTCGTAATCATCGCCGCGTCCACCACGCGAGTTGCTCCTCCTCGAACGTGAATCACGATCTCGGTCGCGCTTGCGATCCCTATCCCTGCTGCGAGACCGCTTTCGTCTCCTATCGTAGTCATCATGGTTACGAGAACGACTGCGGTTCGAGCGGGAATCTCGATCCCTGTCGCGCTCGCGCTCACGCTCACGGTCACGATCGCGATCGCGTTCTCGGTCCCGGTCGCGATCTCTGTCGCGGTCGTCCCGGCGGCGACTGTCTCGGTCCCGGCTGTCTCTGTCCCTGGAAAGTGGAGAGGAGTTATTATATAACTGATAAGTGCAGCAGCGCACTAAAAGGCTCTAACTTTAGAGTTAAAGTTAAAAATCACATAAAATCAAAATATTTTGTAAACTAACCTTCTTTTCCGGTCACGTTCTTTATCCTTATCCTTGTCCCTGTCTCTCCCGCGTTCTTTGGAACGTGACCGCTCTTTGTCGGCGCCGCTTCTGCCGCTACCGTTTGCAGCCACCGCGGCCAAGACATCTGAGACTTCTCGGGACGCCGCCGCCAAAAGTAAGTCTGGCGGGGTTTCACTCATTGCGAATTCGTTATTAAGCAATATTAATAGTTTTTCAGTGAAAGAATCTTTTTACTTCTCCTAAAAACAAGAGTTAAACAAGAAAATCTACTTTTTTCAGTATGCGGCGTTGCGTGTGAAAATTTCTGTGACGATAATGGCGACGTGGTACAGTGTTGGAAAACGTCAACTGTAAGGGTTGTTCCAAATATCTGTTACTTGTCCCCGTCACATATATAAATGGATATCGTATTTAGTATTGGAAGTAATTTTAAAGTTATTTATGACAAAACATATATTTTATTATGAAATATAGGTTAAATTGTTATCTTAAATAAATAAGTATCAAGTAAATAAATGCTAATAGATATTCGCGTTTTCGTCACTAGTCACCTGTAACAGTATTTCACATTATTACTGCTGTCAGACTGACAGTGTCAGTATTATTTGCGGTATTTAAAAAGGCGTTAGTACTTTTCCTACTGCACGTGTATTTTTGTTTTGCTTTATGATATTGCATTGAATTTGGCTTTAATTTCGAGAATAAAATCATGGGGGCCAAAAACAAAAAGGCCAGCTCCGATGCGGTGTACGCGAAAAAGACGGTCAAGTCCTCCAATCCATTCGATGCGTCCAACGATCCGTCGAACAAGCGTGCCGGTAACCAGAATCCCTTCGATATTCACGTGAACAAGGAGAAGTTCAAGATTCTGGGCAGGATTTGCAAGCATGACAGAGGAATGCCGGGAGTATCAAGAGCCAAGGCTCTCCAGAAACGAGCCCAGACCCTGGGCCAGCAGTTTGCTGTGAAGCACAAGACCAACCGCTTTAAGGACAACCGGATCGGGAAGCATCTCAGTGCCGACCAGCTCACCGAGTCTGTCATGAACGCCCGGTACCTGGCTGAAAAGATGTCCCAGGTGCGCCAGTCGCAGAAGTCCGAGAAATTCAATCTGAACGACGATGAGCTGCTCACACACAGAGGGCAAACGCTGGAGGAGATCGAACAGTACAGGGACGAGCGTTCGGATGATGAAGAGCTTGACGATGAGGGACTAGATGGTAAGGAGGGCTAGAATATAAAATATGTGTGAAGAATACATAATCATGTTATTTTAGCCGAGTTCACATCGACTGCCCACTTTGGCGGCGATGGAGATGCTCCCCAAGATCGACAAACGGCCATCGAGGAGATGATCTCAGAGCAAAAGCGCCGCAAAAACGAAATAGCAAAGGAAAAGGATGAGGTCTACGATCTGACAGAGAAGCTGGACGCCAACTACAAACTTCTGTTGCCCCTAGTGGCCAAGGCCACCAAGGATGAGCAAGAGGCGAAGCCTCCTCCAGATGCATACGACAAGCTGCTCAAGGAGATGATCTTCGAGCCGAGAGGAAGTGTGACTGATAAGCTTATCAACCCGGAGGAGCTGGCCAAGCAGGAGGCGGAGCGACTGGAGAAGCTTGAGAAGGAGCGACTGCGGCGCATGCGGGCTGACGGCGAGGAGGACGAGGAGGCGGAAGCAGCCAAGCCCAAGCATCGCTCGGCGGATGACCTCGACGATGGTTACTTCCTAGCCGGCGGTGAAGAAGAGGTGGACGACACCCTGGCCTACGACTTGGACGGAAATCTGGGAACTCATCTGAATGGCAAACAAAACGGAAAGGAGGGTTCTGATAATGAGGACGATCAAAATGAGGAAGAGGAAGGCGATGCGGACGAAGATGAAGATTCCGACGAAGACAGTGACTCCGAGGTGGACAACCTTAGCGACCTTAAGGAGTCCGACAGTGAATCGGAAGCGGAGGAAACGCCCCAGCCAAGCAAAAAGAAGGCCACGAAGACAGTGGAGAAATCCCCAGCTGCTGTAGACACTAGCATCCCCTTCACCATCAAAATGCCCAAGACCTACGAGGACTTTACCGAGCTTCTTTCCAAGCACGCTGCGCCGCAGCAGGCCACCATCGTGGAAAGGATCATCAAGCGCAATCATCCCAAGCTGGAAGGAGTGAACCGGGAAAACGTGGTCAAGTTATACTCCTTCCTGCTCCAATACATAAAGGACTTGTTCGAGGATGCCAGTGAGCAAGATATCCAGGGGAACTTTCAACTTCTCTCCAAACTTATGCCTCACCTGTATGACTTGACCCAGTTAAATCCGGAGAGAATGTCCAATACCTTGCTGGAGGTTATTAAGGAAAAGTACGGAGAGTTCCAAAAGAACCACAAGACGTATCCAACGCTGGACACTCTTGTGTACTTCAAACTAGTGGCCAACCTGTACTCCACATCGGACTTTCGCCACCCAGTGGCTACGCCTTGCTTCATATTCATGCAGCACATCCTCTCCAGGGCGCGAGTGCGAACACGCCAGGAAATTTCCATGGGTCTCTTCCTGACAACGGTAGCCCTAGAATTCGTTTCCCAGTCCAAGCGGATACTGCCCGCCGTTTACAATTTCCTGCAGGGTGTCCTGCACATGTCCATACCCAAGCGAGATGTGGAGCAAATAGAGGTGACTCCACCCTTTGAGAAGGATGGCCCGTTAAGTAAGCTGTTGGCCCTGTCTTCTGGCAAAGAAACCAAGAAACTGGAGGCGCAGCCCCTCCAGGCGGCAGACTTGGTCACCCAAACGATAACACCCGATTTCAAAGTGCGGGCGCTGAACACAGCTCTCCTGCTGACAAAGGAGTCACTGGAGTTGGTCGAAGAGCATGTGGGTGTCTGCTACTTAGCGAAGCCTTTCTCGGGCCTGCTCTCCCGCCTGCCACTGGAATTCTATCCCGAGCATGTGCAGCTCAGCCACAAAGAAGCAACAGAGCTGGTCCAGAGGTTGGGCGAGCAAAAAATGAAGCCTCTGGCACCTGCGGAGAGGAAGCCCAAGGCTCTGCGGCTGTTGGAGCCGCGGTTCGAGACGGTCTACGATGACAAGCGGCGGCCAAAGATGTCCAAGGCCAAGGAGGAGCGGGCCAAGTTGCTGCACAAGATTAAGCGAGAGAAGAAGGGCGCCATCCGAGAGATCCGCAGAGACACCGCCTTTGTCCAAGAGCTCAAGCTCAAACAGACCCTTAGAAGGTGGGAATCTCCATGCTTTCCTTTAGAAAAATTAATTAATTATTTTTATTTCTTTACAGCGACAAGGAGCGGCACGAGAAGGTCAAGCGCATCTACCAGGAAGCGTCGCTGCAGCAGGGCGAGCTCAATGAGCTGGCTCGGTCCAAGAAGAAAAAGAAGTTCTAGTTGTCCACCAACTAGGCTGATTAATTGTTGTTAGCTAAGCTAGACACTAAGCTTCCGAGAGTAAAGAGCGGCGGTGTGCTGCTTTTATTTTAAAATCACATCATCGACCTTCGGATTTTTGCGTATATAGTGATGCTAATTATACTAACCTAGATTATTTATAAACAGGGTGGGTCGATTAACAGAATATGATAGCCCACCAATAGCTGAAATACATTTTTACTGAAAGTTTCATAGAAATTATCCACTATATCCATAAAGAAACACAAAATAGTGCCTGATTTTCTTTATTTAATAATTTTTAAACCCAAAAATAATCGACCCACCCCCTATTCTTAAGGAATCCTATGTCTATGACTTCTTTCCCGAGATCTGCCGGCAGCGCAACGTCGCCTGCTCCACCGCACCCGCCACCGCTGCCCGAAAACCTGCAATGGAACACGAAGGTTGAGTGCCCGGCGATAAGGCAGTGCGTCACTGGCCAGACTTACCTGACAGCTCCAGCTGCCGGAGCGCCGCTGCCGTCGAACCCGCCGGACTTGTGACCCCGTCTTTCAGCTGTCCTGGATGCAGTCCGCTATCTCTGACCATGTGACCGGCACCCAACACCGTCTGGGAGGCCAGGCGGTATGCCAGGTCCCTGGGCATGCCCATGTGCACTGCCCCGTCCGCCAAGGCTTCAATCATCACGAAAACATAGGCAGGGCCACTTCCACTGAGCGCAGTAACCACATCCAACTGGGACTCGTCCACTGCCTCGCAGGTTCCGACCGATTGGAGCAGCTTCTGGGTGATCTCCGCATCCGTGTCGGTGGCCTTGGAGCCCCTGACGAAAACCGAACAGCCGGAGCATACCACGGCTGGAAGATTGGGCATCACGCGAATCACTCGAGCTTGGGGCGAGAGGCTGGACTCGATGGTGGGCAGGGTGATGCCCATGGCCACGGAGAGGAAGAGTTTCCCGGAGCTCAGTGGCTGAATCTCGGAGAGCACTGTGGGCACCACTTGTGGCTTTACGGAAATGAAGACCACATCGGATTTCTCCACCACTGGAGCATTTTGGATGACTGTTTCCACTCCCAGGGACTTGAATGATTGGAGGGATAGCTTATCCGCCGGATGGACACTGGCAATCAGTGTGCTGGGCTTTGCCAGGCCTTGAGGGGAAAAATAGATCCAGTAACTGGAGGGGTATAACCGCTTAGACCCTACCTGCTGCTAGGAAGCCTTTGGCCAGAGCTTTGGCCATGTTGCCGCCGCCTAGGAAACCGATCTTTCCGATTCCCGACATGTTTTGGTTTAGTCACTGAGTATGGACTGAGTACTGCACTTTGCGTTGGTGGAACCGCAACTGTTTGTCGGATTCTCCGGCGACCAGAAACAAACCGCCTCGGCTGATAAGGAATCGGCTTCGGAGCGGTCCCCCCAGCCCCCAGTAATCGGCGCTTATCAAGGGGTGTTCCTGTGCCACAGCTGGGTTCATAACAATAATTTCTATAGTTTTCACACTACTTTGAACTTTTGAGGAAATAAAACAGGCACTTAATTGGTACTTTACAGGATTTACAGCCATGGGGAGAAGATCTTGGATTTTGGGGCTATGGTTTTTAATAAAATTCTTATTTTATTTTTTATAATTCATGAAGTTTATTAAAAACCATAAATCGTGTGATTCAAATACTTGCAGTTTCTTTTAAATTTTTTATAGAGCTTTTAATTGGGAACCAATTTTAAAATTTAGATTTCAAAATAAATATGAATATTTCAAATAGTTTTAAAATGTTTACCTCTGGTATGAGTACTTCTATCAGTAATTAAAGTATAAACTCTATGAATTACAAATCATTCACACATTTAAAAGCAATTATCAAGTCTGAATTTAGACCAGATGCTCTGTAGTCCCTGTAATCGTCCATTGATCCATCTCCGTCTTGGTCGGACGAGGCTCTCCCCCGGGTTTCTGTTTACCAAGTTTCGAAAACATTCCGTACTTGCAAAGATAGCACCGCTTATCAGCTCAGATGTGATAAGAGAAAAGGGGGTAATCGAAAACAATGTTTTGGAGCTAAATATAATTGTTGCTCTGTAAATAGAAGCCAAGAGGTCTTCAAGACAACTTTCAAATACACTTTGAACTTAAACCTTTATTTTAACTTAATACCATTTCAATAGCTAGATGCGATGATACAAATTCATAATATAATCAGAAGACAAATATTTTTAAACACAAAACTTATAAAAACACACACGTTAATAGAGTTAATAAAAAGAACTAACTGGCTCTTAGAACTTTAACAATAAGGAATCAAATAAGTAGCATGCTTAGAACCGTTGCATGGTTTTTGGAAACTTTCTTTAAATCATAGACGATTTCATTCAAATTATACTATTTCGTGTTCAAGGAAAGTGCTTATTCTGGTTTTCATTTTTAGAACTGGCTTAGGTGCGTATCTCCTCTTTCACATTTGGAGTGGTGGCGATGGCCGTCAATAGAGAGTCCTTTTCTTTGTTTCCAAAATCTGGATACAGCTTGGCCACCTGTCCCAGGGGAGTGCAAAGGCGACCTGAGAAATCCAAACGCTTATTCGACTGACTTCGCTCCGCCGAGGAGATAATATCCAGCAGGGATCTGGGGAAGGAAACATATTAGATCTGATCTACAAATAATGGAATATCCCAACCCACCTTTGACCACAGCTGGACATGCGGCGTTTACTGGCCTTGAGTAAGCTGTTCGAGTTGCTGCCGGTGGTGCCGCCACTCGGGTTGGGCTCCAGGCGCTCAGGGGAGTGGGGGGATTCCGTGTAGGAGCGCAACAAGCTAGAATTTGGCTCCGACTTGGCTTCTCCGTAGGCGGCCCGCAAGCTCTGCAGGCTCTCGAGCAGGTTCTTGTGATGGACTGTGCTGGCGTTAAGGTGGATGAGTTGCTCCAGCTCTCGGTAGAGCAAGCGGTATTGATCCTTCGCCTTGGATAGCTTCAACCTACCGAATAAATGGCCCAAGTTAGTTTTTCGAGAGAAGTGAGTTTTATTAGGTCCCACCTAGCCCCGTTGGTGTGGGTGAAGGGCAGCATGTCGCCGCGCGAGGCGCTCTTGTAGAGCTCGTGGATGTGCTGCTGGCACCGCACTTCCTCCCCCTTGTCCATATCCTCTTTGACAAGCAGGTGCAGGAAATGCGGCAGCCAGCTGATATGGCGCTGGAGGTGGAACAAGATAGACGAGCTGTTGGTCAGGGGGAAGTAACGCGGCAGACGCCGTGCCAGTCCTGGGGCAGCGGGGTCCTTAGCTTTCAGGGGCACCATTCGCGACATTTTCATCAGCTGACCAAGCTCTGTAGTTCGGTAGTCGGTGACGCGTCCGCCTGGCCCGTCTCCTATCGCTGGCGCTTCATCCATGCAGGATCTGGTGATGCACAGCGAGTGTATGAAGATCTCGCCACCACGGGCCGACAGCATGTGGCTGGTGGCTTTTGAACCGGCTTTACGCGGCATCTCCAGGAGCACGGACCTACCATTGAGAAGAAAGTTAATCAAGCATGAGCTGGGCCGTGAAGTAACATCAACCGGCGTTACTAGAAACTGGCCCAAACAGGGCTGTAAATCGGCAGAGCCGCAGCCACGAGGGGTACACCATTTAAGGGTGACAGTCTCGTAGGTGGCTCCTGGCTTAATGCTCGTCGGCAGGCTAAAGTCTGAGCCGCATGCGATTGAGTGGGCGCTCCTGCTGTGTAAGATCTCTACGTCGTAGTTGGCGCTGGAGTTAGCGTTCTGTTCCTCCTTCATGGGTATATTTGTCACCGTGGTGCTGGCCAGGTTATAGTGGTCGAGGATGAGGTGCGTCAGCTTGTGCGATATGTCTGGCGCACTTACTGTGTGGATTTCAACGTCCAGCAGCGGAGAGATATTTAAAAGAGCTCGATTCGTGACCATGGACTCCACACCCAGGGGAACAATGTTGAGAATGACAAGGTGGCAATGATCGATGGCCAGGCCCTTCTTGGCCGGCGGACCAGCCAAAGCGTTCTGCTGTATCAGAACCGTGTTGAAGATGTCTTCCAGGCTCTTCATGCTCGTATTGTCCCGCGCCGACGTGATACAGATAACGCGGCCTTCGTTGGGAATGTGCACTGGTTCTCCACTGGCCATCGTCGCCAGCTGCTCGTCCGTCGGCTCCGCCAGCGCCTCGATTGCCGCTCTAAGTCCATGGATTACGGAGTAGTCGGAGGACTGAGGCATGCTGCGAGAAGGGACGCCAACCATCACCATTGCGTTCATGACGTGGGACATGTTTTGCGTGCTGGGGCTCCAGGTGTTTACTATGTGGGCCGCCGTGTCCGAGACGATGAACCGTACGTGTTTCTTCCCGGGAAAGAGATCCCAGACCACGCGGCAGTACTCGATGGAGGATTCGCAGGCGCAGGTCCATAGACTCTTGCTGAACTGCGTTCCCAATCCGCCCCCGCTAGCTCCGCCAGCGGCACCCGTACCGGTGTCCACTGACGGCTTCCCCTTCAAAAAATCCATCGAGATGTAATCCTCGCTGGCGATGCTGAAGTAGCGGGTGTGGTCAAGCACGAAGATGGTCTTCTGGTTTTGTTCGAACATGGTTGTGCTGGGGCACCGGAGTTTGTTTGTTTACAATTATTTACAATTTCTTATCCACCATTCTACTGCTGGTTGCCAGATAGCCTGATAGCGTGGGAGAAAAGAGATGCCAGACAGGGAAAATTTTGATATTTAAAGAGCGGGAAATGGTTGTTTTTCAAAACAAATAAAATGATAACAATTGTAAACCACATCTACCATTAATGTAAATTAAAATTTGATAAAATGTATTCTAAAAATTATTTACCTTTCCCTTTTAATTACAATTACGGAATACAGTTTCGGATCTCTTCTTCCAAAATTTTGTGTATATATATTATATTTTTGTTTCTTTAGCCTAAGAATAGTTTCTTAGTAAGAACTAAACTTAATGATTTATGTTGATTTATGTAGAAAAGCCTTATAATAAAACGTAAATAAAGATTTGTTGAGAAACTTAAATTATTGCGAACCGGTTAAAGAGTAAATTCACCACATCAATTCGAGCTGTCAACCTCAGGAAACTTATTGTTCAAAATATCGATAGATCGATACACATTATTGTTCCAGCCCTAAATAGCCAGCTGCAATTCGTGCAATTAACAAAATTAACAACAAAAGCGCTGTCTAACAGGAAAAAATAGCAACAACCATCGCAATCAGGAATCTCATTTTCAAGGTTGCAGCCGTATAACATAAACAAAACAAACAAGCGGGGAATTGAATGCCAAGTGGATTGGTAAACAAACCGAAAAATTCTCCGTAAATCCGAAATTCTGGAAGAAAAGGCGACGGTGGCGGAGGGTAAGTTGTTCTAGATAGATAGCGATCATGGAACTCAATTGATTTGCAAATTACGCACAGGGCCACGTTGCTATCGCTTATCTATCGCACTGAAAACCCCTGAGCAAATTGGCCAAAGTCGAAGCTTTGATACCCTTGCTTTGAAATTTCATACACATCCATACATACATATGTATGTATGTAACCACTTTCCGTATCGGAATTGTACTACACGGCCTAAAACATAATATTACTATCTACTCCAAGGGTATTGGAACTAGCATTGAAACTCACAAGTATGCCATGCGTTGACAAGTGACAAGTTTGATTTTTTCTCATTTCAGTTACATTTCTGGCGGTATAGAATCGTTCCAAAAATTTTCTAGCCACAAATATGTCTTCGTCGTCGGCGTCCGGCGGTCGGAAGCAGCCCACGGCAGTCTCGCGAATGAAGCAGGACTACCTGCGCCTCAAGCGTGATCCTCTGCCCTATATTACGGCGGAGCCGCTGCCCAATAACATTCTCGAGTGGCACTATTGCGTCAAGGGCCCGGAGGACTCACCCTACTATGGAGGCTATTATCACGGCACCCTGCTCTTTCCGCGCGAATTCCCCTTCAAGCCGCCCTCCATTTACATGCTGACACCGAACGGACGATTCAAGACCAACACTAGGCTGTGTTTAAGCATATCAGGTATGGATTTTGACAGTTCTTGAAGTTTTTACAATTCCCTCGAATCATAAACATGCACATGCTAACCATATATCTTGTATCCTCTTACAGACTTTCATCCGGACACGTGGAATCCGACTTGGTGTGTTGGCACTATTCTTACAGGACTTTTAAGCTTTATGGTATGGAATTTGAACATAATTCTTTACCCATTCAACATCTCTTTTTTCCCCAGCTGGAAAACACTCCCACACTGGGGTCCATTGAGTCGTCGACATACGATAAGCAAATGTTTGCTCAAAAATCGTTAGCATTTAACCTGCGCAACACCAACTTCTGCGAACTGTTTCCGGAAATGGTTCAGGAAATAAAGCAAAGACTGCCGGCCACTCAAGGATCGGCGGGAGCGGCGGGCGGCAGCGCCTCCAGTTCAACTGGGGCGAAGAAGGCCAACGGGCAGGCCAATGGAGTGCCTTTAGGTGGAGATGCGAATGTAGTGGCAGGCGGGGGAAATCCACAAAACGCGGCAGATGCTATCGATGGTGCCGGTGCTGGGCAGGCGGACTTGGCCAACGGTGGGGGAGCGGCTGCGTTGCAGAACAGCGCTCGAAACTCGTATCTGAACTGGCAGTCGGTGTACTCGAACCTGGTGATCATTATCTGTTTTGCGATATTTGCCCTCATTGTTAATTACGTGATCAAGAACCTGAATCAGGAATAGAATTAACTGCGACACAGCCTCTATATTTATAATGAAATGTAGCTACACATACATATGCGTGTGCATATTTAATCTAGTTTACTCTAAAGGTAGTCTTCGAGGATTCAGTTCCGCTTGTGAAGTATTTAACAACCTGCTTTAATTCAAAAATAGCCACAACCGCCCCGGCCCCGCCATTCATTCCCCGTTCCCCCAACCGCTGTTTAGGCTGAAACCATTGGTAATAACAACTGGAAACATATGCAAAATCAGGCATAACCAGCCACTCACTTTCAAACTCTCAATTCTTAAATCTAAAAATTGTTCTGTTATATATGCATTAACATTAAAGACTAGTTTTATGCAAAGAGAATGAAGCCAGGAATATGTTTGTAAATTAATAAAAACGGCAACGTATGAGCTCGTGTACAAATTAGCCAACTTAAACGACAGTCTAATTCCTTTGAAATGGATCTTTATTTTCAGGCCCCCAAAATAGAGCGAGTTCTAAATTATAGTTGGCTTTGGCGGGGTAATCGGATTAAATATGTGCCAAAGCCAACGCTGAAATGTTTTCTCATTCTCGGAGCGTGGATAAATCCAATAACGCAGAGCCAACAATGTTTCACATTTAAACCGCTTATCACACCCCCACTAGTCCCTTTCTGGGACTACTTTGTTGGTCATCTTAAGCCAAAATTACACACACATGACGCTTATTACTGGTGCGGGCGTATGGAGTGAGATTTCGCAAGTCAGTCGCTTTTAGCGAGTTATGGCGCCCATTGTAATGGCAAGTTATGTCCCGGCAGAGAAACCCACTTACTCGGAAAACTCCTTAAAAAACTCGATTTTAGTGAGAAAACTTCTTTTTTGGCCAGACGCCGGAACCGCCGCCGCCAAAGTTGCTAATTTAACTAACTTAAATTTCAAGTTCAGACCTCAGGCCAAACTTTGGCAGCTGCGGCTGGCAGTTGCAACTTTTCGAATTCGCTTGTTTGTTTTATGAACTTGCAACAGTTTAAGCCAATTTCGGTTGCACAAAAGTATGAAGCCAGGCCAGCAGCAGACTCGTTGCCTTAAAATGATATTCCACATGGCAGAGAGTAGGGCAGAGGACCCATAACCGAAACATCCCTGCTGCTGCTGTCATCAAGTATTTTTACAGCAAGTCCAAATGGGCATGGGCGGGCATCCCGAAATATGACTCGAAATGCTTTCAGGGGATGGGGTTTTTTGCTGAAAATACGTTTTGAGTGCCCACCAAGTTGGCGACTGGACTCCAAGTCCGAACTGTCTCCAGCACTTCCGCCTTATCCTTTTGATGTCCTTGCGGATGTGCAATTTTTGCTCATTTGTTCTTGGCATTTATAAGCGGCTACTCGCCGAAAGCAAAAGAGGTCATCCTGGTGGAGTTCATTGTTCAGCACCGAAAACAAGACCCATGCACGGCCAGAGCTGCCGGGCCCGGCTTAAACGCTAAACAAATGGGTATACGACATTAGTAGACGGTAATAAATGTCGATGCTCCGGGGCTAAGCCGTTTGGCCTGGGGAAAATATGCGCGAATAAGCCCCTCGAAAACAAAATACGAATGGAGAGAAGAAAGTCGGCCTGCTAAGCCATAAAAATAATGGCCAAAACAAAGCGAGTGCCCACGGCCAAGGCGGGAGATAAATAAATATAAATAAATAAAAATAACAAATGCAATAATCATTAAGTACGCCTCATTGGTGGGCATGTGCGACCCAAGTTCACTGGCCATCTGGAAGAGGCCCCAAATGGTGGGTGATGCACAGAGCGCACGAAGGGATAGTCTGGGAGATTTATTCATATTTTTAAAATAAAGTATATTTTTAGATATTTAATAAATAAATAGATTATAAAGCATCCACATACCATTATCTTTTAATTTAAATAAATTTCCAAAATATTTTTGTCAGTGGTATTTCTTGACCAGCCTTGGGGTCATAAATGTTACACAACCGTGCACAGAAGGACCTCGCACACATTCAGAAACACATATAAATGAAAATGTTTGTTAAATTATGTGGGCAATATTCGTTTATGAGTGTGTCAGTGTGCGCAATAAACGATAAAACATAAACTTAATATGCAAAGGCCACGCGAAAATAGAAGCGCCCGAGAAGTATGCTACAAATTCGCAACATTCGGTATGTGCGAGGGAGTCCTTTGTGGGAGAGTGTGAGTGTGCCTTTATCAATGCATAAACAAATGGTCATCAGCTGTGTGAAACGGATTATGGCACAACTGTACCATGTAAGGGGTAATTGAGGAGAAATTGAAATGGGCATTCACAAGTGATGTTCGGAATTAAACCATGCCAAAACCCATCTATACATATAATAATATTTAAGGTTAGTTTTCTACCTTGTTTGAATTAAAAATATAAAAATAATTTATTCTTTTTTGGTACATTTTGGAATGCTCATCACTGCTTATGAATCTTTCGATTCTTCATATTGTACATAAATCGATAAATGATAATGGAATTTAAGCCAAGCCAAAGCCATTGCATGTGTTGGCATACATAGTATGCCCATGATTGGGCTGCTATGAGGTATGATGTCGAGGACAATCGGCAATTCAGGCTGCCAACGGCTTGCTGCTCGTTTACTGGCGGAAGTCGTGCTCTTGGACACTAATCTATGGCCCCACGATGTGCTTTGTTTACCACATTGGCCACTTAATCATCATCATCATCGCCGGCTGCATTGTTGGGCCCGCTGCGCTGCAATTGTAAATTGCAAAATTCTCTGGAGGACTCTAATGTGATCTGGTGCGTAGTTGGCGGTGGGAAAAAGTTAGCCTACCACTCAACCACAACGTCATAAATTTCAATTAGTGCGGATGCATTTGTGTATTTGCGTGCGCCAATTTTGAATTATGAACTCTGGATTTTCGAGCTGACTAATTGCTGATTG